AGAGCCTGGGTATGTGCAGACGATTGCTGTTGGCTTTCAACGATGTTCTATGCTCCCAGCCTGCCCGCCCATCAGAACAAAGTCAGAAAAACGGCGTTTGGCCTAGTCCAGTTTATTTTGCTTCGAGACAGAAGTCAAAACCACGTCTTTGCAGTATTGCTTTTTACCTAATGATACCTTTACCTTAATGTCTCTTTTTCGAGGGGGAAGGTCCATTTCTAGTTTGCACAGTTTATTTTCTGTCTTCTGTTCTCTGCTGTTGTAGAACTCAATTTTTAGCCATCCTTTGTCGACAACGCGTACCCTCAAACTCCTCTTAAAGGAATCATCTTTTTCAAATCTGCAAGGCATGGAGGAAAAAGTCTTAACGTATAAAGAAGATTAGGGATAATCGTCTTCTAAAGTTATCAAAATTTTTCCTAAGTTCTTGTTAGAGTGAAGTTCGCTAAAGGAAGTAGGTCATGAAATTGTGGGCCATTTGGAGCAATGATTGAAAAATAAAGGCTAAAAGCTGTGCAATAGCTAAGGCGGTACCTTCGTTACATGACCGTCATGATTCGAGCATTGATATTGCTCTGCCAAATCGTAGCTGCGAAAAATCATTTGATTATCAAGTTCTTACAACTAACACTTCTCCGCGCAACTTCGTCATAATGGTAGTATAACTGAAAAAAATTTCAGATTCACAAGGAGGCATAGTACATTGGCCGCTTGCAACCACAGCTGAATGTTCAGATGCAATTGTAATTTTTTGTCCACATAGATTTACTTTTCAAGTATTACATTCGTGCTTGCTATTGTGTACTTCAACTATTGTAACGGTTCTAGTTTCAAACATTCCATTTGATTTAAAATTATAACGTATTTGCATGTAACGAGTCAAAACATTACAACGCTGATGGCATGAGTCACACCGAAACATGGCTTTGAAAAGTTCTCTCGTGAAACCGAAATCTATTTTAAGTATGGGTAATAAAATTATTTCGAGTGCAATTTGTTGTTAATAACCACGATTAAATTTTGTACAGACAACAAAATTGCACGAGCCCGTAAAGCAATTGCAATTTGTAGTCTTTGAAAAATGTACAAGTGCCTATTACACCAAATTGCAAGATAAAACATGTTATTACTTGATAATAATGTACATGAAAAAACATCACAGAGACACGACAAACGAAATTTGAAACCGTGCACGCGCTAGTTGCAATCTTCATTCGTGTTACATGATGATGCACTCGTTTTCAGCCAATCAGGAGCGCTTAATTTTTTCATGCATATTATTATAATAAAAAAGTAATGATCAACCACATTTAATCCATGAAACTTCTCCGAAAGTACAAACACTTTTTGGAACTTCACGCAAAAATATCCAAACACTCTGCAATCATTCTAAGACTTGGTCTGAAAATATTTTTTGATATTGCATTGTATGCTGCATCTTAAATTTCTAACATCTGATGGACAAACAGCCACTCGACCAGATGAACCGACTAAGTTCAAATTACCTCAAGAGAAGGTGACTCACCCACCATCATGGTCACAAAAATTTCAAATTTCTTGTTAATCAATATTTTGTTATTTCAGATCAAACTAGATGTTCTAGGTATCGACAAATGCCTACCGAAGTGTTACCTGACAAAAAAGTCTTCTAAATCCGCGACCTCGGCCGGCTGAACCACGCTCCCTGAAAAAAACACATAAGCCACGTCGTGAGGTGCCATGTAATCCCATGCATTTTCTTCTTCCAACAAGTATTCCTCCTCATCTTTAATGTGCTTCCGTGTCGCGTTACTTGAACTGCAAATCACACGCAGCATTTTTGTAGAACCTAAGCTGGTATTTGCTGGAAGACAAGCTGTAAAAACTGCCACTTGGGGCACATTGTGTGTGTCAAAGCTACGTGCTAATTCGACCATTTGTGACAAGACTGGTTTAACGCACCAATCTATCCAGCCCCAAAGTCTGCAACCAAACAAAAGCAACACCAGAATTACCTCCCTCCTGCAACTAACTTGAGCTTAAAACATAAAATAATCCCCTTGCCATTCAAAAAATATATAACGATACTGATAATGATAATAGTAATAATATTAATATTATCAATGACAAAATCAAGCAAAATACAACAGAAGCAAAAGCAGAGCTCGTGGTTTTACAAAGCGCAAGATGTGAATCATTTGTAGACAGTGCGAACAAAATTTCGACCCCTGATTGACGAGTGAGGCGAATTTACATAGGTAAGATGATGTTTGAAATCTAATATTCTTTCTAGAGATGCTTTTAATCTACTAACAAGTAAATCAAAGAAGATTGGGATGCAGGTGTATCGCAAGAAAATAATTCACGCGTTAAATAAACATCAGCTGTATGTTCCCCGATATTGTCATGCTAATTTCAACCCGATCTATCTTGATTCCCTACGCTTTGTTTTGCTTCCAGTTATTTTTGTTCCGAGTTGAGGTTTTTCAAATATTGCTCCAATAGAGACGCAAAGCACTCATAAAACATCTAAAAATTTGAAAGCAGTTACTTTGGCATACCTCGAGAAGTGCTTCACACTGAATTTGATGAGAGTCCCCTCCAGCCAAGGGGGGGAATCAAGAACATCTGTAATTTCGGTCCATTCTCGTCCTGTTCCATCAGATGGTTGCAACAAGACTCGGGCACGGACGAATGACAGATCAGGAATACCCAATAACTCAGCTGCCTGATCCGTGTCTCTTAAGGATAACGGCAGCTGTACAGTGACTGGTTCCTGGAACTCCACCTCCTTATTGCACAGAACACTGAGTATCGGGCCGGCCAACATCTCCTTGTTTCTTAACTCTCTGCTGCGAAATTCTTGTATCTACAAGCAATGGAGAAACAAAATTCAGTCAGTTGGACGAGAAAGCGAGCCAACAATAAATTGTGGCCAGCGTAAAATCCATTTCTAAAACAAGATTATTTGTTTTTATCAGCTGAGTTGCTGATGTAAATTGCCCACTATAAAGAGATATTGAGCTGACTTTTCGAGCGTTAGCCCCTCTTCAGAACTAATATTAATCATATGAAATTTTCATTTATTTAAGACTTCACGTTGCCATGCGTTGAGTGGTAAGAGAAGTTTTCCTCACTGTTTTCCTCGAACTTCGCCCTTGGTCGCATCTCGGAACAGATAATGTCCGCGGACAAATATCCGTGCACGTTTTCGCGCCAAATGAAGGCTACTGTTTATATATAGCGACAGAAAAAAAGAACAATTTTGGGCTTAACCAATTTAATAACTGGAAAAAGAAAACGAACTAAAAAACATTTTTTTTTTTGACTCAAAGAACCACAAAAAATATTTTTTGCCCAACTCAAAGAACCATGTAACTAGCCG